ACTCTTCTGTGACTCCGGCCAGGCTTCGCCTTAGGCGCTTCTTGACTGGTTCCTTCCCCACCCCAGACTTTTTTCTCGGCTTCTGGCCGAGGGCGTCAAGGCTCCGTGACGCTTGTCGCCATCATCCGCAAAAGAGGCCTCGGGGGCCATCTTGGGGCCATCTTGGAGGAGATCGATCAAAGAGGGGGGGGTCCTTGATTAGGGTCGCCCCCCCCAGGAGGCCAGAGTGCGAGCTTCTCGCCAAGGCCTCTTGGGGCGTCTTGGGTGCCTCGGGGCCTCCTGGGGGTATCTTGAGAGCCTCCTGAGAGCGCCTTTTCCTTTCGGGGCACTCGTGGGGCACTCTTGGGGGCCTCGGGGGCCATCTTGGAGGTGATCGATCAAAGAAGGGGGGGGTCCAATTAGAGCCCTCCCCTCCCCCGCGGAAACCAAAATGTGACCACTGCCGTGGGAAAATCAATAAGTTTGGCGTTTTCGCCGAAGCCATGTTGGACGCTGCAACGACCCGCGACCTTTCCCCCTCCAGATCCAGGGGAAGGGAGCAGGGGGAGGTGTCAAGACACCCTCCTAGATAGCAAGCCGTTTAGCTCATTCCCGCCCGCCCTCCCGTCACATAAGTAACACCCGAGCCTCAGCATGTTCAGCGCTCATCTTTGGATGGGCAGCTACTGGGAACCAAAACCGATCCCATGTGCGCGATGCTGGGGCCCGAGCGTGCCAGGCACGTCTGGTGCACCAGATGCGCCACGTGCTCCGCGTTCGCCAGGTGTGCTGCACACTCCAGCCTCGCCAGGTGCAGGCAGAAGGCGAATAAGCGGAACAGGCAAAACCCCTGGAGCCCGCTCCTCGCGATTTTCCTTCCCCAGAAACGAGAGATTTAGGGATTATGAAAATCGCCACGGACGCCGGCCTCCCTGTGAGTTCGGCTGGTGCCCTCGCGCGAGACGAAGTGCAAGCGGCAGACGCGCTGCCAGGTGGGTATCCTGGGACGTTCTCCACACCCCAATTCACGAGGAGACGCATCTGCAGTCGCGTCTATCGCAATCCTGGACCCCGAAACCCCGACCCACGGGGAGACGGCGGCACGCGGCAGCAGGCCATGACAAACCAAATCGTGCCTCACTTTTTGCCACAGTGCCCGATGCACGCGATCGTCTGTCAAGGCTCTGCCGCGCTGCTCGACCCAGAACGGTCTATTGCAACCACTCCGCGGCCGTCGTTGCCCCGCGGCCCTGGGCGCTAGCGTGACCGAGGGCTGCTATCCCCTGCCAGCCGCCGCTGAAGAAGAGAACCGTCGGCCCGCCGGCACGCAGCGCTGCGTCTGCGAAGCCGCGGCGGAAAGCGTGGGTTCCCCACGCCTCCGGCGCGCGGAAGCCAAGCGCAGCGGCGCCCATTTTTAGCGCAGCCAGCGCTTCGGGATATTGCACGTCCTCAAACAGGCCTAGCGCGCTCCCGCGCTAAACCAGCCAGGGAGCACACTCCGCGCAACGTCCTGCCCTGGGGTGCGCAAATACATTGGCGGCTCGTGGGAGCATTTCTGGCGCAGGAAAACGACCTCGCATTCTGTGCGGTCACCCTGTGTGAATGAGAATACTACTGAATCGCTGCCTAACTGTAAGAGCTCACCGTATCGGAAACAGAATTGTCGGGCGACGACCAATGACTCAGCGAGCACTGGATATCGGGCCGCCTTCGTCCACTCGTGGAGCTGCCGCGTCTCCGCTCCAGTGGCCCAGATCTTCAAGCGCCTCGCAGTTGCAGGAGTAAGTTTCTCTGCGCCTCTCATCAATCTCTCCGCGTCTTCCAGGGCACCCACAGGGATGTCCAACAAGCGGCACACGTTCCTGATGTGCGTACCTTTGAAGGGAAGGTCCGTTGTCGAAACAAAACGGAGGAACACGTGGAGCACGGCGGTTGCCGGTGGCCAGCACGCTGCGCCAGCTGCGATCGTTGCTTCACCCCATAGACGGACTGCCGAGGCGGACTGCGGAGCACCTTTTCGCCATCGCGCGAATTCTACCCACAGTGCGTTTTGACCATGCCCGGCAGAAGATTGGCTTGTCATGTGGGCTCGCCCTGCTTCCGCTCGCGGCTTGTCGAGAGCCACGATCCCCGGGAAATAATCCAGCCGCCCCAGTGCACGGATTGCGGTTGCGAGGTCATGAGCTGCTGGGATCACTCGAGTATTCCGTGTTTCCCACAGCACTTGCAGCGCAAACGTGCCCGCGCGGCGTATGCCAGCGTCCACCGCCGGCAGACCTGCGCAGTTGTTCGCGCCAAGAGGAGACGATGCCCTGGAGATGAGTTGATCGCAGGGGGTTCTCCCTGACACCGGTGTTGTGCCGCCTGCCTGGCGCCGGGCAAAATTACGGTAATGCTCGAGCGGCTTATCCACATGCTCCAACGCGCAAGCGGCGAATCGGGGAAGCATACTCCGCGCCTCGCTCGCCGCCGAGCCGCCCACGTCACATGGCGAATCGAAGCCCGCTGCCGCAAGAGCCACAAGTAAGGCCAGCACGTCCGCGCCTGCAGTCCTCTGCGCAGCCACAGCGCGCACCACGGCGGCCAAAGGCGAAGGTGGATTGTCATTGCTGGCAGAGGTTTGCGAAAATCTCGCTTCCCGGCTATGGTTGATGAGCTCGGAGGCCATCGCTTTGGGCCAATTGTTCACGGATTGTCACGTTGCCTCTGTGTCAACGAGCAAAGTGACGATGGATGGCGCTCTTTTTTCCATGCGCGGACTGTCGATGCTGCCAGTGTTGTTGTTCCCCAAGCGCTCCTGGGCACGTCTTCCGGGAAAACCATGGCATTCCTTCAAAGCCACTCGCGGCTAACAGCTGCAACTGCTCTGCTTTGGCACGTGGCAGAGTGCGCGCGGCCGCCATGTTCAAATGTGATGGCACATGCCGCAAATGCAACAAATGCCCACTCTGCGCAGCGGGAAGCCAGAGCTCTCCGATCATTGCATTCCATTCAGCTTGCGGGGGCAGCCGCGCAAAAGAGACCCCAGAGCACTGGCGTTGTCCACGAATGCTACCATCTCCAAATCGTGTGGAAGATAGCTCATCTAAAACTTGAGGGCACAAGCTGTCGCCAAGAGTTCCCAAGAGCCTATTTGGTTCTTCCTGCAATGAGCCCAAGCTGCGGCTGCTGCTGGGACGTCGGCGGCTGCCCAGGCCTTCGAGCCGGGGGCGTTGCGCCCGCGCATAAGATACGCCCGTTGCGCCCGTTGCGCCCGCGCATAAGATACGCCGGGTCCGTTTGTATTTCATCACTGCCATGCTCCCCGGGAGTGGCTCCTGTAAGAATCGCAGCCGCCGCTGTAATGACAACTGCGTTATTCGGGACAATTTGCGTTGACTGCCCGTCCCGCGGTGAGAAATGGTGGCTAGGTGCATGCGGGCGCCTCGGCCAAAGACAGCTGTTGCGCCCCTGCTCAACTTGCCCGCCAGCTTCTGAGCCTGCGCAGGCGAAAGTGAGCGCCGCTGCAGCGCTTCTCGAAGTTCGGCGCACCATTTCTTTAGCCTCTCCGCCTCGAGAGTAGAAATGATGAGCTGTCTGGCGTCGTCAAACTGGACGCTGACTCCGAGAATCGCCGCAGTTGCCTCCTCAGTCGCCGCCTTCCCAGCGTCTAATTCCCAGCCGAGCAAGTCGGATATCACGATCTTTGCCAGACGCGCTGCGCCTCGAGGACTGACCAAATCGTCAGTTTCGCCTGGCGTAGACCCCACTCTGGGGTCGCCAGCGAACATGTCGTCGACAAATCGCAGGCACAGTAGACAGAACAGCCTTGCGAAGAAACGATCCCAGCCAGAAACCGAGGCGGAAGCCCCCAATGGCAAGCAACACCACTGCAACGCTTTACCGTTTTCTGTTGTCTCGTGCCACGCGGCAACAGCGAGCGGATGGTGACCGCTGAGAATGGGTGAAGTCATACAAGCGTTCTTAAATTTGTTTTTTCTCCATCGGATCGCAACGCTTTGTCTGCCTCGGGCCGTTTGGCGCACCAACGCCACTAGAGCGTCTAGAGTATCGGGCGAAGTTCTTTCGTCATGCACAGCCGCGCCGTTCGCTGGCGAGCCGGCGAAGTCGTCGATGCAACGGACTTTCGGCACCCAGACTTCAGCAGAGACTTGTCTCGCGCCTCGGGCTACCAGAAACCGCGCAGCCACGACGCATGAATTCACATTCAAACTACGAAGACGCGCCTTGCCGTCGTCGATCTCCTTAGCGCACGCTTGGAGAAAGTGCGCGCGGACACTGGCGTCGCCGACCAGTTGCGCGGCAATTTTGCCGAGTGTCGCCTGATTCCGCTCGCGTGGATAATTAAGGAGAGAGCGCATTGTCTCGGTTGGTTCTTGAGACGTGCTTGCGCTCTCGCGCGTGCCACTAGCAGGCAGCTCCCCTACGATAGGGAATCCTTGGTAAAGATTGTGAAACAGATGCTGGTCTGGCCAGCTGATTGCTTCCAGCGTCTCTTTAAGTGGCAGAAGATTCTTCTCTGGCCCGAGCACCGATTGACAGTGCGCAGGCGAACGTTTGGACGCGGCTTGCCAGTGAGGGCCGGTCCCCAGCTTCCGCCGTCTCCAAAAAGCCAGGGCAGAGCGACGAGTTGCTTGCAGCTCTGCGATCGACATTTCTGCTGATTGCTCTAAGGAACTGCTGGAACCATGGCATTGATGGATCAGGAGCAACGCTAGAGGGGGATAGGCTCGGGAGGGGATGCATCGGCCCCGAATCGCCCATTCATCGCCGATAGGGACCCGAGAGTCCACCCCGCTCAGGAACGTGCGGATTCGCTATCGGGGGCCCATCGCCAATCTATCGGCGATGTATCGCCGATCCCAAGTCAATGTTCCCCCCCCCTGAGCCAGCCCCCCCCCCGCCCCTTCCCGTCGTCGCCCCTCGGCGGACCTCCGAAACGCTTGCACACGTCTGCGCCAACGTCCGCTGGGCCTCCCACCCGACGCCCCCGCCCAGCCCCCCCCCCCCTGCTCTGGCAGGACGGCGAGGAGCAGCTGCAGATCCAGAGCTCGGAGGCGCCGCGGGCCGCGGCGGAGGGCCGCCGCTGCCGTCGCCGCCGTCGGCGGTCTCGGGGCCACGCTCCGGCCCCGTGCCCTCCTCGCCTCGTGCGCCCTCTCGTGCTGCCCGCTGCCCCTCTCGGTCGGATGGTTGTCCTCCTCGCCCCCCATCCGCCGATGCTGCGCCTCGTCCCGTGCTTCTCCTCATCGCCGTCGTCCTCCTCTTGCTGGTTTCCCTCCGCTTCCTCCCCCCGCTGCTCCCCCTCCTCGCCTTTCTCTGCTGTCGTTGCTCCTCCCCCTCCCCCCCTGCTGGTGGTCCTATACAGACTCTCCTCTTCTTCTTGCACCCCTCTAGCTTCTAAATCATGGCCGCAACACGGTAGAGCGTCGGGGCGTTTGGCGCGATCCCCCAATCACGACGGATGAGGTGCACATAGGGGGGCAGTTGGATTTCAACATGCGGCTCTCAACTGATATCTCAAACAACACGACCCTGGAATCTACACATCCAAGCAGGTACACCTGTTCCGTTTCGATATCGTGTCTTCTATGCAGAGATTTACGCACGTCATGAAGAGGTTTGGTCAGATTATTCGACAGCTACATGGTCACATGACGGGGTCTCTGTTTCACTGTTGTGTTCCCGTTTCGGTGTTGTGTGAACAGGTTTGCTTCCGTCACATATGACACCTTTCGTCTTCACTTCTTGAGGATCTCTCATGGAGTTCATTTGGGCAGTCTTGGGGCTTCTGTGGGGCAGTCTTGAGGGTTCCTTTGGGCCGTCTTGAGACCTTCTTGAGCCTTCTTCGATCCGTGTTAGGCCGTCTTGGGGCTTTTTTGGCCGCCTTGGGACCCTCTTGGCCGTACGGCTGGCCGTCTTGGCGTCGTCTTGGGCCGTCAAAGGGCCGTCCAGGGCCGTCTTGGAGGCCTCCCGTGGACAGGAGGACAATCAATACAGTAATCTTGGCGTATTCGGGCCCTGTTGGGTGTCCTCTTGTGACCCTCGTGGGCTTTCTTGGAGGCATCTTAGGCCGTCTTGAGGCCAGTCTGGGCCGCCCTGGGGTCATTCTTGGCCGTCGTGGATGCTCTGGTTGCTTGCGTGGGTAGTCTTGCACTCGGGAGCGCGGGCCCACTGCGTTTTGATCCGGGATCGTCACTTCGGGAGCGCGGGCGCATTGTTTAGTTATTAGGGATCGTGGCCTCGGGATGTGGGGGAAGCATGCCAGGAAGTGCGAGATGAAGGGGCGGAGCCCTCAGAAGATTGCAGAAATCCTACCAGACAGCCACTGGCATTCTGCCACGCCTCAGCATGCCCGGGGGCACGGTGGCAGGTAGGGGGAGGGTAGGTGATGGTGAGGAGGAGGGGGAGGAGGAGGAATGGAGGAGGTAGAGAGGTGAAGAAGGGAGGCCCTCCCTTGCCAGGAGGAGGAGGAGGAGGAGGAGGAGGAGGAGGAGGAGGAGGCCGACAAGCGCAGGCCCGCGCGACGTCATGCTCTGCCTGGAGGGGGTGAAGGGGGGAGAAGGAGGAGGACCGGAGCAGACCCAAGGTGCAGCAGCGATACCGCAATGCGCTCTCCCGTCCCGATCCTCCTCCTCCTCTCCTCCTCCTCCTCCTCCTCCTCCTCCTCCTCCTCCTCCTCCTCCTCCTCCTCCTCCTCCTCCTCCTCCTCCTCCTCCTCCTCCTCCTCCTCCTCCTCCTCCTCCTCCTCCTCCTCCTCCTCCTCCCTCTCCTGCAGTATTTCTCGCACTGCGCGGGGCGGCCCCCGTCGAGCGACGAGCGCCCCCCGGGACCCGCAGGACGGGCGGGAGCCTGCTTGCAGCGTGTGTGCTCTCTTTTTTTCTGTTTTCATGCAGCGTGGGGCGGCCTTTCGTCCTCGAGCCACCGGGAGTGCGACGACGTGGGGCCATAAAAGTTCAGAGCTTTCAGAAGTGGGTCGCCCCCCCTCCATGTGGCTGCTGCACAGTGGCAGATTCCTGAGCAAAGAGAAAGACTTACAGCCAAGACGCTAGAATAAGGAACAGTTCGGATTCGGGAGGGGCTCGATGTTCCTTACGTCCTTCCGTTGTTGTTTCAATAGAACTTCTCGTGCGCCCAGGCTTTTTTGAAGTCACAGAGGGGCTTCGTTCCTTATTTTGCGTTCCTTATTTCAGCAGCCCGACTGTATGATCATACAGTCTAAAGGGGACGTAAGCGAGGGTCCGATTCTGGAAAGGAGCCGTCCTCCATCCGCTTCACCGCGCAATTCTATGAGAGCGTGCTTGGTTCGGGTAAGCCCCAGGCGAGAACCCCGTGGTGAAGAGGAACCGACCTCCATCCGTGCAAGTGTGCGACGTTTCTGAAGCGAGTGTGCACGGCGCCAAGGCGAGAGCCCGCGCTGGAAGGCATGTCGGCCTCAACCCGTGTACGTAACTGTCAGATTCCGAGGCGGGCATCTATACATGATCACCGCCTGTTGGAGGATCAATTTTCGGGGGCATCCGCAGGCGATGGGTATGGACATATTCGGGCTCCTGGGGGCCAAGATATATCCATATCCACCGCCCGCTGGGGCACCAGGACGTCGGTTCCCAGGCGGTGGATATGGATAAATCCCCGCCTCGCACAGATGTGATGAACGCTAGCGTGCGCGGTGCCAAAGCGAGAGCTCCTCCTGAAAACGATGTGCCCTCCATCCGTATAGCGCTCTGGGCTTTCATCGTCGCGACCGCAAGCGGCGAGGAAGTCTCGGGCGGAGCGCCCGGCCGGCCCTCACGACACGTCTGGTGGTGCGACGGGGAGGAGTCGGCTAGGAGGCGTGGGGCCCTGGGGCTTCTCAGAATGGCGGCCCCGCTGCTCGGTGGCAAACGCTCTCGCGAGGCCTCGCCGCCGCTGCCGCGCTCCCGCGGCAGGGCGAGCGAAGCAGGCCACCTGCTCAGAGGCCCTGCCGGCCCGAGCACGGCGCCCACGGCAGGCGCAGCGTTGCGGTAGGCGGGCGCCAGCCGCACAGGTGCCCACCGTGGAGCTCATCAAGAGCGGCGCCCGGGACTTCATCGACTACGCGCTCACGGAGGTCGGCGGGCGTGGGGCGCGGAGGGTAGGCCGTCCAAGGGAGAGAGTGTTCGTTCAAGCGAAAAGCGGAAGCATTCCAGCGAGAACGCAGCCAGCGAAAATTGCGCAGGTAGACGCACAGAGACACGGACTGAGACAGGGGGACACAGAGGGGCACGGAGAAACACAGAGGGGCACTTCGTCGACTGCACGCTCGCGGAGGTCGGGCCGGCGTGGGGCGCGGCGGGCAAGAGAAGGTCGAGGGCCAAGGCTTGTTTTTCTGGACGCGCTCGTGGATTTCAAGGCCTCAGGGCGGCTTCTCGTCGCCACGGCCGGATCCGCCTCGAAAGCCTCGGCAGAACGCACCGCTGGAGAGGCCTGGGGCCCGATGTTTGAGGTGACCCCCCAGACCCGTGGCGGCCCGACGAGGCACGTCGGTGAGCAAGGTATTTGCAGAAGCGGTTACGCAGACACCATGCCTGGCCAGAGCTATCAAAACGATCCCCTGGCCCAGGATCCCCAGCTCTCTCGCGGCTTCAGAGATCGAGCCGCGCCTCACGCCTTTCGCGGCACCAGAGGCGCGGTATTGGATGAATCTGGAGAATTCGGGGCGGCCCCGAGAGATGATGAAAATGATGACGATGACGATGATGATTTTGATAATGATGATGATGATGATGATGATGAGGAGGAGGAGGAGGAGGAGGATGGTGATGGTGATGGTGATGGTGATGGTGATGGTGATTGTGATGGTGATGGTGATGGTGATGGTGATCATGAAGGTGATGATGATTATGATGCTGAAAATGATGTGTATGATGTCGATGATGATTATGACGATGATGATGATGATGATGATGATGATGATGATGATGATGATGGCGGTTATGATGCTGATGCTGACGATGCTGGTGATGATGATGGTGATGGCGACGATAATGGTGATGGTGATGGTTATGATGGTGATGGTGATGGTGATTGTAATGATGATGAGTATGCTGCTGATGAAATGATTATGGCGATGCTAATGATGAGGATGGTGAGGGTGATGGTGAGGGTGGTGGTGATGATGATGCTGATGCTGATGATGACGCTGACGTTTATGATGATGATCATTATCATGCTTATGATGGTGTCGATGAGGATGTGGATGATGATGCGGATGAGGATGCTGAGGATGTGGTTGCTGAAGCTGCTGCTGCTGCTGCTGATGGTGATAATGATGATGAGAGTGACAATTATAATGATAATGCTAATACTGATGGTGGTGATGATGATTAGATTGATGGTAAGGAGGATGATGATGACGATGCTGATGATGATAATGATGATGATGATGATAAGGATGGTGATGGCTACGATGGTGATAGTGATGGTGACGATGATGGTGATAGTGGTCGTGATGGTGATGGTGATCGTGATGATGGTGATGATGGTAAGTATGACGATGATGGGGCGGATGAAGAAGGTGATGATGATGATACTGATGATGGTGATGATGGTGATGGCGGTGCTGGTGTTGAAGATGCTGGTATTGTTGATGTCGCTGGTGGTGATGATTATGATGATGATGATGATTTTGATGCTGATGGCGATGTGGATGATGATGATGATGCTGGTGGCGGTGGTGGTGATGGTCATGATGGTGGTGACGGCGATGGGGATTGAGATGGAAGTGCAAATTCGTGGTGGTGATGGTAGTGATGACGACGACGATGATGATGCTGTTGCGATGATGATGGCGATGCTGATTATGATGATGCTGCTAGCGGTGACTGTGAGAATGATGCTGATGATATTGATGGTGCGGGTGATGATTGTGGTGGTGATGTTAATGACGATGATGGTGGTGATGACGTTGATGATGATGCTGATGACGATGGCGATGACGACGATGATGATGATGGTGATTATTATGATGATGATGATGATGATGATGATGATGATGATGATGGTGATGGTGATGGTGATGGTGGTGGTGGTGATGTTCATGGTGGTTTTGATGTTGATGTTGGTAATGATGCTGATGCTGCTGATGCTGATGCTGATGCGAGTGATGCTGCTTGAGATGTTGATGGTAATGGTACCGATGCTGATGCGGATGCTGATGCGGATAACGGTGGTGATGATGATCATGACGGTGTTGATGATGCGGATGCTTCTGTTGGTGACGTCGATATGATTTTGATGATGATTATGATGATGATGTTGATGAGGTTGATCACGATATTGTAATGATGATGCTGATGATACTGTTCGGGTTGGCGATGGAGGTGTTGATGATGATTTGGTGGTGACGGTGATGCGAATACTATATAGGTTGATGAATGTGATGGCGATGGTGAAGTTTGGGGCGGTGATGATGATAATGATGGTGATGATGGTGGTGGTGATGTTGATGCTGATGCTGATGTTGATGCTAATGCTGCTGATTATGCTGATGCTGGTGGTGATGTTGGCCTTGATGTTGGTTATGGTGATGTTGCTGACAATGGTGATGGCCATGGCGATGCTTATGTTGCTGCCGATACTAACGTAGAGGCTGACGCTGACGCTGATGCTGATCCCGATGATGATAACGATGGACATGCTGATGCCGATGCTGGTGCTGCTACTGATGCTGCTGCTGTCGCTGATGATGGTGATGCCGATGCTGCTGCTGGTGATGGTGATGGAGATTGTGATGGTGGTGGTGATGTTGGTGATGGTGGTGGTGATGGTGTTTCTAATGCTGATGATATGATGATGGTGGTTGTGGTTTAGGTGATTCCGATGCTGCTGATGATGATGACGATGATGATGCAGATGATGATACTGGCGATGCTGATGATGAGGATGGTGAGTATGATAGTGAGGGTGGTGGTGAGGGTGAGTATGGTGGCGATGGTGTTGGTGGTGATGATAGTGATGATTGCGATGATGGTGCTCGTGCGGGTGATTGAAATCTCGAGCATGATGATGCTGCTGATGCTGATGTTGATGATGCTGGTACTGGTGATGATGGTGGTTGTGACGATGACACTGGCGGTGACGATGATGATGACGATGATGCTGATGCTGATGCTCATGATGATGGTGGCTATGATGATGATGATGATGATGATGATGATGATGATGATGATGATGATGATGACGATAATGATGCTGATGCTGATGCTTATGCTGATAATCATGATGCTGATTGATGCTGGTGATGCTGCGTATGATGACGATGATGATGACGCCGATGCCGGTGCTGATGATGGTGATGGTGATGGTGATGGTGATGGTGATGGTGATTGACATGCGAATTCGTGGTGATGGTGACGATGTCGACGATGACGACGACGATGACGCTGCAACTGCTGACGACGACAATGATGATGATGATGATGATGAAGATGATGCTGATGATGATGATGATGATAACAATAATGATACTGCTGATGCAGATGCTTGTGCTGATGCTGGGGATGATGATGTTGCTGCTGATGATGGTGACGATGAGGAGGAGGAGTCGGATGATAAAATGCTATGATGATTAGGATGAGGATGATGATGGTGTTGATGGTGATGCTGACGATGATGCTCATGATGATGGTGGTGATGATGATGATGGCCATGGTGATCAAGATGATGATGCTAATAAGGAGTGTTGATGATGCTGATGGTGATGATGGTGATGATGATGATGATGATGATGATGGTTCTGCTGCTGTTGATGATGATGCTGATGATGCTGATGAGGAGGAGGAGGAGGAGGAGGAGGAAGACGAGGAGGAAGAGCAGGATTTTCCCGCGCTCACAGGATGGGCGAGGACTTCGCGGCCACCTGCGGTCACTCCCTCCAGGAGCTTTCCGCACCGCTGCCAGCGGCGGAGAGAGCAGAGGCAATAGCAGCGATGCCAATGGACTCGAGGAACGACAATTCAGCAGCCCTCGAGACCACCTCTCCAGGCAGCCTTTCGGGGTGCTTGCCCGCCAACAGACGGTTTCGGCGAGCCTTCGCACCGTGGCCTCTGGGGTCTTTCGGACACCCAGCGAGCAGACCATGCGCACGAGCACTAGTAAAGGCGCCGCAACGCAACGCACAAGCCATACGCCGTCCGGCGCGTGGGCGGGAAAACAAGCTCAGCACAGCCTGTATTGTAAGGGAGAGGAGGAGGAGGAGGAGAAGGAAGAGGAGGAGACAGAAAACAAACAAAGGCGCCACATTCCCCGCAAAGGTATAGTGGCCAACTCTGGACAGCTGGTGAGGCCGTGGCCCCTCCGCAGGAGACTCGTCGGCCCGAGCCATGCTCTTCCGCCGACAGCGGGTAGAAAAGCAATGTTCTGCAAGCATTGCTGGAGCACCCAGCCTTGGCCTCATCATCGTGGGCCCCTTTGGCACAGTTCACACGTTTCTAGGACACCTGATGCCACTCAAGAGCACTCCGAGACTCAGGGGGCAGGAGCACAGCATGACGCGGGCGTGGCCCGGGAGCCCGAGAAACCTTCTGCGCTCGGCCGGTGGTATCGTCACAATGGTGCCTATACTACAGGTCATCGCACCGACCAGGCCGAGCATGGAAGATACCTCGTTTGATGTAGCCACCCATGTGTCGGTAATAAGCTGAGGGATGGCGCACATCTTTGCGTCTTCCTTGGCCTGGAGGTCAGCCGCCTGATTGCCTAAATTGTGGCACCGCTCGAATCCCTCGAGGTCCTCTGCGTCCGACGTTTCGGAATGCGCTCTCACCTTGACGACAACGCGGTCCCCCCCACCCCCAGAAAAGGAACATTCGATCGCATTCCAACTCACATGCCACAGGTCGGCATCAGGGCGCCTGGCTTGGCGGCACCAGAGTGGGCCTCGTCGGAAGCCTCCGACCACGGTGATATTATCTGTTCCTACCTGAAGCGGCGTCGTGCCGTGGCGCAGCACACTCAAAGAAGCCGTGAAGCTCAGCCCTTCAAGCGTCTTGAGCGTGCCGAGCCCCGTGGACCGTGCCGCCGTGCATCGCTTTTCGGACACTGCCCTGGTCGTCCAGGAACGCAAAGCCCCAACCGAACGCCCTCAGCCCAGGGGCCCCGACTCCCGATCCGCCCGGACGTGCCAAGCCAGACAGGAGGGGGCCGTCCCCGAACTCGGGGCCGAGGGCCTCGGCACTGGGCGTGACGTCCTGGAAGGGGTCCACCAGAGGATGAGGAGCGGGAACCCTGGAGAGAGGCGAGAGGGGGGGTCAGAGGTAGCCGCACGGTGGACGATCTCGGGGAACTCCTCTCCAGCAGCAATCCGCTGTTCTTGTAACGCTGGGCACTTGCAGAAACAGTGGTGCTGGTCACCTATCTCGTGTCCGCATCTCTGACAGCTACGACCTTCTGAGTGGCCTGCCTTGCACTATCTTGGGTCCAACGGTCGCCGTCCAGGAAAGCCAGCATCGCGGACTGCTTCTGTCCTCGACCATTTTTCTTTGAGCGCACGGCAGCACGGCAGGGCTCGAGCAATGGTTTACAAAAGGACATGCCACGTAGCGTAGCCCACTCGGTGAGCCCCTGAGCCCCTAGGCGCAGGAAACTATGCTTGCGGATCGTGCTGGGCGCCGAACGGCGCATGCCAAACAGGTCACCTGTGTGTAGCCGATGTGTGTGCCAGCAGGGCCAAGGTCCGAGGTGGGAATGTATATACAGTGCCGTTTTTAATATATGCTCCGCGCGCGAATCATGCATTACAAATGCAGGGATTTAGTATTATAAACAACGATGAGTTCATGCATAAGTTCATTCATAACTGAATCATGTATTAAACATCCTATATTGTGAAACATCATATGTATTAAAAACTGCCCTGTATGACCACCGCCTGGAGGATCAATCTTCGGGGACCCTGGCAGGCGGTGAATATGGATACATTCTGACCCTCGGGGTCTCACATATATCCATATCCACCGCCCGCTGGATCACCAGGGCGTCGGTTCACGGGCGGTGGACATGAACACATCCCCGCCCCACACAAGTCCACCCCGAGCGCTGGAGCGTCAGACTGCAGGCTGAGGCTGGCCTTCGGACCTGACTCCAAGGGCGGTCGAGCGGGCGGCTACGTCATGGCCTCCCCTCGAGGCATCTCGCGCCACCAGGCCCTTGTCATATCTGATTAATGAGTGCCCTTCGGAGGAGGAGGAGGAGGAAGAGAAGGAGGAGGAGGGGGAGGAGGAGAAGGAGGAGGAGGTGGTGGTGGAGGAGGAGGAGGAGGAGTGGGAAGGAGCTGTCGGAAGGTGGTGGCGGAGGAGAAGTAAGATGCGTGGAGGGGTTGAGAAAGGACGAGCCGGAAGGAAGGACGCTGTGGATTAGCATCAAGCTCGTTGAGGGAGTGGCTGCTGAGCTCCACCATGCGGCGAAGTCGACAGGAGGGAGAGTCGTCGTCGGAGGAGAAGACTGAAGAGGAGGAGTAGGAGGGCGGCTGAAGAGGATTGGAGGCAGACGGAGGGTTAGTCGTCGTCGTCGTCGGCGGCATCGGCATCGCCATCGGCATCGGCATCAGTGTCGTAGTCGCCGACGTCGTCGTAAGGCGGAGGAGGAGGAGGCGGCGGAGGAGGAGGAGGAGGAGGTGGAGGAGGAGGAGGAGGAGGAGGAGGAGGAGGGGGAGGGGGAGGAGGAGGAGGAGGAGGAGGAGGAGGAGGAGGAGGAGGAGGAGCAGGAGGAGGAGGAGGAGGAGGAGGAGGAGGAGGAGGGAGGCGGAGGCCAAGCTGAATGGGGCGGGCGCCGGGGAGAGGGGAGGGGGGCGGCCGAGTCGGCCGCGGGGCTCGAGAGCTCCAGGTTGACCGCATCGTGAAGGTGGACAACGCCGGGTCGGTCACCTCGTTCGACTGGAAGTCGCAGGCGGGCCCCCGCCGCCGTCGTCGTCGCCGTCGATCGATCGATCGATCGGCATCTCCCCAGCAAGGGTGACAAAGCAGCCGTTCGCTTCTAGCAACTCTTCTGAGTTGAGGCCTCGCGGCACGTCGGTCTCGAGACCTGCGGGCGCGGCGGGGCGCGTCGTCGTCGTCGCTGCCATCGTCGTGGAACTCGTCGGCGTCGTCCACTGGCAAAGCTGCTCCGGCGTGGCCTGGCCGCCGTGGAGCGACCGCTCCCCAGGTGTTCGTGGTTGACTTGTCCATCCACTTTGGTAGCCACCGCGTGCGCTTGCCTTTGAAGATCGGGCCGGGCGAAAGGGGGGGATTGGGAAAAGGGGGGTTACGAAATCTGCTGCATGCAGCTGGTTTCGGCCCCACCGAGGGGCCCATTCCTCGATACATGGCCGCCTCTGGCGCCGGGAGGCGCCGGGAAAATCAGCTACGCGAGCTGATTCTCAACCCCCCCCTTTGCTATCCCCCCCTTTCGCCCGACCCGAGAAGAGGGCGGGCTTGGTGGAAGTAGGTGCATGCTTGCGCGCGTGCGCTCCACGGCAGATGGCTGGCCCGACAGGAGGCCAGCAGGGCGGCGCCAGTTGCCGGGGGCCGTCCGTGTGCAGGAAGCGGCCTTTCTCCTCGAGTCTGTTTCTCCCTGCCTTGAGTTATCCTCCTGGGAGTGCCGCTTACCGCTTACCGCATGAGGAGGGGGCTCCACCCCGCTGTGATGAAGTTGTGTGGGCTGGTGGGTTGGGGGGCGGGCGACTCTGTCGATCGTATGTTTTACCCGTTCCAAGACTTTGGCACTCTCCGCACCTCTCTCTTGCCGCGCCCTCCTCTCGTTGAGCACTTATTTGCTGCATGCGTGCGAGCCAGCTGAAAGTTAAGCTCCAGCAAGCAACGATACTTGGCACGAGCCCAAATTAGGAGTCGTCTTTCTTCCAGAGCCGCTCAAAGCAGATCTTAGCAGTGCAAAGCAGCGCAGTGCAACACATTGCTTGGCATTGCTTCGCATTGCTTGGTGGCATTGCTTGGAGTTACTTGGCATTGCTTGGAATCGTCGCTTTGCATTGCTTGTCATTGGTCGGCAGTTCTCTGCGTTGTTTTGCATTGCTTGGCATTGCTTGGCGCTTGGCATTTTGTGGAATCGGTATTTGGCATTGCTTGGCGTTGCTTGGTATTGCTTGGCATTGTTTTGCATGGCGTGGGACTTAGTGGGCCTTGGAAACGACAGGGCCGTTTTTTTACCGTTTTCGTTTTGCCGTTTTTGTCGTTTCCGGCGCCGTTTTTTTGTCGTTTCCGTCGCCGTTTCTTGTCGTTTCCGATTGCCGTTTTTTTACCGTTTCCGATTCCCGGGGTGGGCCCCTCTGCCAGATCACAGTTTTTTACCAGTTCCAAACCGGTTCCGAACCGGTTCCGTGCGTCGCCCTGATCTGCCCTCGCCAAATGCAGTTTTCCGTTGCCGTTTTTGAGCCGTTTTCGTTGCCGTTTTTTCCCGTTTCCGGTCGCCGTTTTTTTTTACCGTTTCCATGTTCAAGAGACACTTTCTCGAAAACGGTAAGAAGACGGCCCTGCCGTTTCCAAGGCCCTCTACGGCGTGGGATTGGTTTGTATTGTTTTGCAGTTGCTTTGCATTGCTTGGCGTTGCTTGGTTTTGCTTGGCATTGCTTGCGTTGCTTGGCATTCCTTGGTTTTGCTTGGCATTGTCTGGCATTGTTTGGCATTGCTTGAAACTCAGCTGTTTTTGCTTGGCATTGGCCTTACATTAGCTATGTTTTGGCTTTGCATTGCTTGGAGCTGCTCGGCATTGCTTGGCGTTGCGTTGCATTGCTTGGCATTGCGTTGCATTGGCTTGGCATTGCTTGGCATTGCGTTGCATGGGCTTGGCATTGCTTGGCGTCGTTTGGCGCTGCTTGGCACTGCCACCTGCAGCGCCGAGGCATCCCGAGGGACCCGGAGGAATTCTGGGCAGCGCCGAGGGCCGCCTTTGACGAAGGGCCGCACCCACAGGCTCTTTTCACACAGAAGAGAAGTCACTAGGGACTCAGAGGTGAAAAGGTACCCATACCTCTACCCTTATCTCGATTTTCCCTTTTTGGGCCTCCTCGGATGCCCTCGTCGCTACTCGCTACCGCTGGAATCGTCTCGACATTTTGGTCAGAACGCACCCTCGGAGAGGTCTGGGGAGTACCTGTATCGGTATTTGTTTGATTTCCCCAGGAACAACCAACTTCGAAAAATATGTTTTTGTCTTGGTGTCGGTTGCTTTATATCTGACGAGAGGACGCACGGCCTACGGACCGTTCCTATTCGCGAGGACGTTCAGGGTTTGCCCTCCACCCACGCAAGCTATGCGCACGGCCAACGCTGCAGTCACACAATCAAGCACCATCCCTCCTCCTTTTCTTCTTCTTCTTCTTCTCATTCTTTTTCCCCTCCTCGACATTCCTTCTCGTTTCCTGGGTGGAACCATATCCGTGTCCGCGGCCTTGAGGGCTGGGCCCTTGGGGCGCGACCCCGCAGATGCAAGGCGTTTTCTCACGGACGCCACGCGCGGAACGTATCCTTGCGACCGCATGTCCGCGGGATCGCGCCTCAGAATCCAGACCGCGAGGACGCGGGTACGCATGTGGTCGCCGTTCGTGATTGTTTTTTCCTCCCCCCGCACTCCTCCCCCTGCTTGCCTTCCATCCTCCGCCCTCGACATCCCTCATGGTGCCCCAGGGTCACTCCCAAGACGTCCCAGCCCTGCGGCGATCCCAGGCCCGTCCCGCCTGTTCTCTTGCCGCGCCCCGCCTTACAGACTGGAGGACAAGGAACACGACGAAGAGGAAAGAGAACGGGGAGGGGGGGAAGGAGGGGCAGGAGGAGGAGTAGGAGGAAGAGGAGGAGGAGGAGGAGGAGGAAGGCGATGTTGATGGATGATGAGGAGGAGAAAGAGGAAACGGAAAGAGAACGAACATGGTAAACGGAGGGTGATAGGGGGGGGGGTGGAGGATCAGGAGGAGGGTGCCGAAATGGGGCGGCGCTGGCATGAAAACTGCGCCATGGGGCCCTTAGGTGGACCTCCCTATGGGGCCACGAAGCGTGTGAGAGGAGAACCAAAATGGGGCAGCGCCGCCATGCGAACTGCGCCACTGGGACCTTAGATGGAGCTCCCTATGGGGCCACGAAGCGTGTGACGGGTGCGCCAAAATGGGGCGACGCCGCCATGCGGACTGCACCACTGGGACCTTAGATGGGGCTCCCTATGGGGCCACGAACCGTGTGAGGGGTGCGCCAAAATGGGGCGACGCCGCCATGCGGACTGCACCACTGGGACCTTAGATGGAGCTCCCTATGGGGCCACGAAGCGTGTGAGGGGTGCGCCAAAATAGGGCGGCGCCGCCATGCGAACTGCACCACTGGGACATTAGATGGAGCTCCCTGTGGGGCCACGAAGCGTGTGAGGGGTGTGCCAAAATGGGGCGGTGCCGCCATGCGAACTGCACCACTGTGACCTTAGCTGGAGTTCCCTATGGGGCCACGAACCGTGTGAGGGGTGCGCCAAAATAGGGCGGCGCCGCCATGCGAACTGCACCACTGGGACCTTAGGTGGAGCTTCCTATGGGGCCACGAAACGTGTGAGTGGTGCCTCCAAATTGAGGGTGACGAGAGGAGATAGGAAGGGGAAGGAGGAGGGAGAGCAGGAGGAGGGAGGAGAGGAGGAGGAGGAGTGAGACGCGGGGCGCCGTCTCTTCAAAACGAGGACCCAACACCACAGGATGGTTGGGAGAAACAGCGCGCACGAGCAGGGGACGCTCGAGTGCGCGGCCATATCGTTCACCTATGACTGAGAGCGGTCGGGCGCGATGACAGCCCAAAAAAGTTCCTCCGAGCGGCCAGGAAAAAAGAGCTGAGCGTTCACCCTAGAGCAACGAAAGGCCGCAGGCGAGTCCGTCCGCACGGATCACTCAGATAACGACACCCCCCCGGGTGCCGACCCAAGCCTCAACCGGCCTCTGCAGGTCGGGACCCTGGAACTCCCTCGGCCGCACAGTCGGGTCACCTTGCGCGAGACTTGAACCACCCCGCAGGTCCCCTTGCCCAAGGGGGACCAGGTGGCACGCATCCGTGAGCCTCCCCCGACCACTCTGTGGTGCGAGGTGACCCGAGTGCTGAGATTGGCCCTGGGGCGGACAGGACCCCAGGCGTTTAGCGAACAGCACCCACCACCCGCCGCCAGTGGGTGGTATTTCGCGGCAGGTGAGGCCGTGCCCTGAGGGTCACGCTGCCCCCCCTGGCCCGAGCGGCCAAGCGGGACATCCCGACACCCCAGGACCCGACCCTACCCGCCGCGGCGCCCCGAAGGACGACTGAGCGGGTTTTAGTTCCCCCGGGGCCCCGATGTGCCGCCCACACACCGAGGCACCCCTTCCGGGGGCGGAGGAGGGAGGAGGAGGGGGAAGAGGAGGAGAGGAGAGGAGAGAAGGAACGCGGGGACCGTCTCGTCAAAACGAGGACCCAACACCACAGGATGGTTAGGAAATAGTAGAACAAACAGAGGTTCAAGGAGGGAGGTACGCGAATTGGTACGTGCTCTGCTGCTGCATGCATCGTGGAGACGTGCGCGTGCAGAGGGATGGTTAATGTACGACAGTTGTTCTCGCCATGGGTGGGATCTGCATGAATACCCCTGTTTCGTCGTTTTGCGCGAATGTTATTGTATTGGAAGGGTGTACGTTATGTGCAATACGGTTGATTGATATTGATTCACGTACCAGCCTCAGAAGATTTGAGACCGACGTTATGGTCGCATTCACCTGCCAACGCCAGAGGCGCCTCAGGCTGTGCTGAACAACAGACGGGAGGTGGCCTGGAACACTTGGGCGCCGCAAGACAACGGAGTAGTCTTCACCAACGATCGTGCGCAAGCTGCCCGCACAGTGTCGCGCGTGAGCGCCCTCGTCTCCGGCGCAGCATGCCGCGCCAGCGACCCGCGGAAGCCACCTCGCAGGGTCGCTATGCCATGCTGTGAAAAAGGCCCGTGTCTTCTCGTCGCTCACCAGTCGGGCGCGGCCCCGCAGAGAGCCGCCCCCCGCGTGCGGCCAGGCCGAGCAGTGGGTCAGCCTGGAGGCCCCCCGCGTGGTCCTTGGGCGCGCGGCGGGCGGGCGGAGCGGAGGAGGGAGGGTTTGGGCGCGGCCGGTGCTGGGCGCCGCCGAGGCCGGGGTCGGGTGGCCACGGGGGGGGGGGTCTGGGAAGGGGTGGGGACTGCGAATATCGAAGAGGGGGGGGGGGTCGGGGAGGGGGAAGGGGGGGGGTCGGGGATGGGAAGGGGGGGGGGAGGTCGGGGAAGCGGTGGGGGGGGTCGGGGAGGGGGAGGGCCTGTGGCCGACACGCCCGGCCCCTTTGGGCACCAGACTTGAAACGGCTCTGGCGTCGGGGCCGCGGATGGTGGGACGGGGGCGTGTGGGGGGGATGTCGGGAAGAGGAGGAGAAGGAGGAGGAGGAGGAGGAAGGACGACGCGACGATGGAGTAGGAGGAGGAGGCGGAAGGACGACGCGAAGAGCTTCGCTCAATGTTTGCCACACGTATAAGGACGTGGAGGATGATGATGATGATGATGATGATGATGATGATGATGATGATGATGATGATGATGACGATGATGATGATGATGATGATGATGATGATGACGATGATGATGATGGTGATGGTGATGGTGATGTGATGTGATGGTGATGGTGATGGTGATGGTGATGATGATGATGATGATGGTGATGATGATGGTGATGATGATGATGATGATGCTGGTGGTGATGATGATGATGATGATCATGATCATGATCATGTTCATGATCATGATGATGATGATGATGATGAGTGGAGGAGGATGATGATGATGCTGATTATGATGCTGATGCTGCTGATGATGATGATGGTGGTGATGATGATGATGCTGATGATGATGCTGATGCTGATGCTGATGATGATAATGATCATGATGGTGATGATGATGATGGTGATGATGGTGATGATGATGATGACGAGGATGATGATGACGATGATGATGATGATGGTGATGGTGGTGGTGATGGTGATGATGCTGATAATGATGATGGTGGTGATGGTGATGATGCTGATAATGATGATGATGATGATGATGATGATGATGATGATGATGATGGTGGTGGTGGTGGCGATGATGATGATGATGGTGGTGGTGGTGATGATGATGATGATGATGATGATGGTGGTGATGATGATGATGATGATGATAATGATGTTGATGATGATGACGAGGAGGGGGAGGAGGAAGAGTAGGAGGAGGAGGAGGAATCGGAGGAGGAGGAGGACACCGAATTACAGCTGGTGCCGTCATGCCGATGATACTCTGGCGAGTTTTGTCTTGCCCTGCCTGCAGCCAGCTGTTGGCAGCACGGCACACGGGGCCAGGGTACAAAAGGAAGTGGAGCAGCGAGTGTACGACTAGGACGATGTCGAGGAGGGGGAGGAGGAATACATATATATATATATATATACATATATATATATATATATATATATATCGGAGTAGGGCCCCGGGGCGGTGCCTGTCATCTCCATGGGGTGTGCAGGGCGCCCCCGGGAGCGTCCGAAGCGTCCCGGAGGGCCCCTGGGACCGCCAGGAACAGTTCGAGACCGCCCAAGACGGCCCGCGAGCGCTCCAAGACGCGCATACATAGCCTCAGGAATTGCCAGGAAGGCCCGAAGACGTTCCAAGAGAGCTCCATGAGGCCCCGAAGGCATCCCAAGAGGCCTCCCAAGAGAGCCGCGACAAGCCAAAATCGTCGATTTTTATTGTTTTTGTTTCAGGTTTTTGGCCTTCTCGCTTTTTCGGAGTTCCGACGCTCCAAGACCGTCCAAGAGTCTCCCAAAACCGCTCCAAGACGGCCGAAGAGGCCCCCAAGACCGCCCCAAGACGGCCCAAGAGACCCCCAAAATCGTCCCAAGACGGCCCAGGAGAGCCCCAAGATGGCCCAGGAGCCGCCCAAGACGGTTCCAGGAGAGCCCCGACAGGGCTTCAAAACTGCCTAAGCGAGCCCAGCGGTCCCCAAGAGGGCCCCGCGAGGCCCCAAGAGGCCCCAAAGAGGCCCACAAGAGCCTCCCCAGAGGCCCCCAGAGGCCCCCAAGATGCCCAAAAATGGCCCTGAGCGCGCCCCAAGACGCCTCCAGGAGAGCCCAACAGGCCTCCGAGAGGCCCCCAAGAGGCCCACTGGAGGCCCTCAGGAGGTCGTCCCCATCATGTTCCCGGAAGGCGGTCCGGGAACATGATTCCGCGCCTTGGAGGAGTATTCTGCGCTTTCCGAGGCGCCTTCCGAGGCGCCCTGGACGACGTACGTATGTTTCTATTTGTTGTTCTCTGTGTACACACAATCCTATGTCTCTTACGTATTTTCTCTCTCTCTATCTATATATATATATATATATATTATATATATATGTATGTATGTATATATATATATACATGAATAGGTGTATATATTGATATGTGTATATATAGATATACCCCTCCCCAAGCCCTCTCGAGTCGTGCCACTACCTTCCTCGTATTTCAATTTCTTCCCTATACATACATACATATACGTATATACATAAATGTATATACACATATACATATATATACATAGATTTATGTATATATATATATATATATATAGACGCGCCCCAAGACGTCTCCAGGAGAGCCCAACAGGCCTCCGAGAGGCCCCCAAGAGGCCCGTTGGAGGCCCTCAGTTGGTCGTCCCCATCATGTTCCCGGAAGGCGGTCCGGGAACATGCTTCCGCGCCTTGGAGGAGTATTCTGCGCTTTCCGAGGCGCCTTCCGAGGCGCCTTGGACGACGTACGGATGTTTCTATAGTTTGTCGTTCTCCTGTGTACACAATCTTACATGTCTTACGTATGTTTCTATCTATCTATCTATCTATCTATCGATCTATCTATCTATATATATATACATACATATATATATATATATATAAGAGGCCCACTGGAGGCCCTCAGGAGGTCGTCAACATCATGTTCCCGGAAGGCGGTCCGGGAACATGATTCCGCGCCTTGGAAGAGTATTCTGCGCTTTCCGAGGCGCCTTCCGAGGCGCCTTGGACGACGTACGTATGTTTCTATAGATTGTCCTTTTCCTGTGTACACAATCCTACATGTCTTACGTATATTTCTATATATATATATATGTATATATATATATATATGAATATATATGTATATATGCACACACCCCTGCCCCAAGCCCTCCCGAGTCGTGCCACTTCCTTCCACGTATTTCAATTTCTTCCGTGTGTATATATATATGTATATATATATATATAGACATATGTATGTATATATACATATACATATATCTATATGTATGTATACGTATATATGTAGATATATGTATACATGTGTATATATGCATATATGTGTGTATATATACACATATATATATATAGAGAGAGAGGCCGTCCAAGAGTCCCCAAAACCGCTCCAAGACGGCCGAAGAGGCCCCCAAGACCGCCCCAAGACGGCCCAAGAGACCCCCAAAATCGTCCCACGACGGCCCAGAAGAGCCCCAAGATGGCCCAGGAGCCGCCCAAAACGGTTCCAGGAGAGCTCCGACAGGGCTTCAAAACTGCCTAGGCGGGCCCCAAGAGGGCCCCGCGAGGCCCCAAGAGGCCCCAAAGAGGCCCCCAAGAGCCTCCCTGGAGGCCTCCGAGAGGCCCCCAAGATGCCCAAAAATTGCCCTGAGCGCGCCCCAAGACGTTTCCAGGAGAGCCCCACAGGCCTCCGAGAGGCCCCCAAGAGGCCCAGTGGAGGCCCTCGGGAGGTCGTCCCCATCATGTTCCCGCAAGGTGGTCCGGGAACATGTTTCCGCGCCTTGGAGGAGTATTCTGCGCCTTCCGAGGCGCCTTCCGAGGCGCCTTGGACGACGTACGGATGTTTCTATAGTTTGTCGTTCTCCTGTGTACACAATTCGACATGTCTTACGTATGTTTCCACGTGTGTATATATATATATATATATATATATATATATATATATGCTAACCCCCCCCCCCCCCCCCCACATGATCATACACATTCTCCCATCATCCCTCCAGTCATCATAACCCGTTCCTTCCTCCTGTTTTTCTTCATGATGGTTTGCTACGTTGCAAACCGCAATTCCGTCGATTGCAATCCAAACACTTCAGCGCGAAGCGACTTCAGTCTTTCGCGGCGCATTGCAATCCAATCTCACCATCTCATGTTTATGATGCCCCTCCTCCTCCTCCTCCTCAGCATCCTACTCCTTCTCAACCTCAAGCTCCCCCTCCCTCTCTTTCTCTTTCTCATCTTTCTTCTTTGAAGCTTTCTCCACCTTCTCCTCATAATTGTCCTCTCCTCCTCGTCCTCCTCTTCCTCCTCCTCCTCGATACCAAACGCCTTGTCCTCCTCGTCCTCCTCCTCATTTTCCTCCTCTACCGTCTCCCAATCCTCCTCCACATCCTCTTCCTCCTTATGTTTGTCTTCTTCCCCCTCCGCTTCAAAATCAAATGCATTGGCCTCAACTCTTCTCTTCCTCCTCCTCTTCCTTCTCCTTCCCCTCGTCCTCCTCATTCTACGAATCCTCATCCACTTCTTCCTCATGGTTGTCCTCCTCATTCTCCTCCTCCTACCCCCTCTCACTTTCAAACTCCTTGTCCTCCTCCTCCTCCTCCTCCTTGTCCTCTTCATCTTCCTTCTCTGAATCCTCCTCCATCTCCTCTTCGGCATGTTGTCCTCCTCCTATTCCGATTCCGCAAATTTAAACTCATTGTCCTCCTCCTGCTTCTCTTCCCCTCCCCCTTCTTTAAATTATCCTCAAGCTCTCCCTCATGTTTGTCCTCCTCATCAGAATCCTCCTACTATTCTTCCTTCTCCTCCTTCTCTGAATCCTCATTCACCTCTTCCTCCTCCTCCTTCTCCTCCTCCTCCCAATGTTTGTCCTCCTGTTCATCGTCTCATCCTCCTCCCCCTCCACCATCTCCTCCTCCACCTTCTCCTCCAAACCATATTTGCCCTACTCCTCAAAATTGAGCCCCTTGTTCTCCTCCTCCTCCGCGTCATCTGGTGAATGCCGAGCTCCAGTGGCACCAGCCATAGTTGAGCAACATCCTCCCCCATTTTCCACCGCCTCTTCCTAGCTGTGGAGCGGCGTTCACAACAAGTTTTGTGAATAATGATTCGTAGCGGAAGGTTGCTCGCAAGGTTTGTTGTGGAGTTGCATTCGCAATTAGATTGGAGGGTAACGCCTCGAAGTGGAGAGGAGGGGGCTGAGTGATCAGGAGCCGTAGCAGCAGGAGGAGTAGGAGGAGGAAGAAGAGGAGGGTGAGGAGCATGACGAAGGTGAGGAGCAACACCTTACTCACAAAACTAGGTGTGGAGCGGCGTTCACAGCTAGTTTTGCGAGTAATGTTTCGTAGCAGGAGGCTGCTCGCAGAACTGATTGGGGAGCTGCGTTCACAACTAGATTTGCGAGTGACGCCACGAAGCGGAGAGGCGGGGGTAGAGTGAAGAAACGAAGGGGAGGAAGGGGGGAGGAGCAGGAGGAGTATGAGGAGGAAGAAGAGGAGGGCGAGGAGCATGACGAAGGTGAGGAGCAACACCTTACTCACAAAACTAGGTGTGGAGCGGCGTTCACATTTAGTTTTGCGAGTAATGTCTCTTATCAAGAGGCTGCTCGCAAAACTGGTTGCGGAGCTGCGTTCGCAACTAGATTTGCGAGTGACGCCATGAAGCGGAGAGGTGGGGTTGAGTGAAGAAAAGAAGGAGGAGGAAGGATGGGGAGGAGCAGGAGGAGTAGGAGGAGGAAGAAGAGGAGGGTGAGGAGCATGACGAGGGTGAGGAGGAAGACATCACTCACAAAACTAGGTGTGGAGCGGCGTTCACAGCTAGTTTTGCGAGTAATGTTTCGTAGCAGGAGGCTGCTCGCAGAACTGATTGGGGAGCTGCGTTCACAACTAGATTTGCGAGTGACGCCACGAAGCGGGGAGGTGGGGGTAAAGTGAAGAAAAGAAGGAGGAGGGGGGAGGAGCAGGAGGAGTAGGAGGAGGAAGAAGAGGAGGGTGAGGAGCATGACGAAGGTGAGGAGCAACACCTTACTCACAAAACTAGGTGTGGAGCGGCGTTCACAGCTAGTTTTGCGAGTAATGTTTCGTAGCAGGAGGCTGCTCGCAGAACTGATTGGGGAGCTGCGTTCACAACTAGATTTGCGAGTGACGCCACGAAGCGGGGAGGTGGGGGTAAAGTGAAGAAAAGAAGGAGGAGGGGGGGGAGCAGGAGGAGTAGGAGGAGGAAGAAGAGGAGGGTGAAGAGCATGACGAAGGTGAGGAGCAACACCTTACTCACAAAACTAGGTGTGGAGCGGCGTTCACAGCTAGTTTTGCGAGTAATGTTTCGTAGCAGGAGGCTGCTCACAAAACTGGTTGTGGAGCTGCGTTCACAACTAGATTTGCGAGTGACGCCACGAAGCGGAGAGGTGGGGGTAGAGTGAAGAAACGAAGGAGGAGGAAGGGGGGAGGAGCAGGAGGAGTAGGAGGAGGAAGAAGAGGAGGGCGAGGAGCATGACGGAGGTGAGGAGCAACACCTTACTCACAAAACTAGGTGTGGAGCGGCGTTCACATTTAGATTTGCGAGTAATGCATCTTATCAGGAGGCTGCTCGCAAAACTGGTTGCGGAGCTGCGTTCGCAACTAGATTCGTGAGTGACGCCACGAAGCGGAGAGGTGGGGTTGAGTGAAGCAAAGAAGGAGGAGGAAGGATGGGGAGGAGCAGGAGGAGTAGGAGGAGGAAGAAGAGGAGGGTGAGGAGCATGACGAGGGTGAGGAGGAAGACATCACTCACAAAACTAAGTGTGGAGCGGCGTTCACAGCTAGTTTTGCGAGTAATGTTTCGTAGCAGGAGGCTGCTCGCAGAACTGATTGGGGAGCTGCGTTCACAACTGACGGGGGGCAGCCGACGGCCAACGCTGCCCTGTTGAAGCTACACGATTTGATTATCATCCTCCTGCTCTTGAAAAAAA